ATGCGTGTACCTGAGCTACATGCATGCGTGTACCTGAGCTACATGCATGCGTGTACCTGAGCTACATGCATGCGTGTACCTGAGCTACATGCATGCGTGTACCTGAGCTACATGCATGCGTGTACCTGAGCTACATGCATGCGTGTACCTGAGCTACATGCATGCGTGTACCGGAGCTACATGGATGCGTGTACCGGAGCTACAGGCATGCGTGTCACATGTGGAGGACAGGAAGTCCTCGGTGTGTCACATGTGGAGGACACGTATGAAGCGTCTTTGCATTGTGTTGCAGTGAGGAGCTGATGGCACACCCGGACCTGTCCCCGGAGATCGATGTCTCTGATTTGGGTCCCCTCGTCCCCACGGAAGTCATGGATGAGCAGATGAACCGTTATACACGCAGCGTACGGGTGAGACATGGGCACATGTAGGTATGACGGTGGGGGGGTCAGATTGAGGGGGAGGAGTCTCACAGTGGAGGTCACATTGAGGGGGAGGGGTCTCACAGTGGAGGTCAGATTGAGGGGGAGGGGTCTCACAGTGGAGGTCAGATTGAGGGGGAGGGGTCTCACAGTGGAGGTCAGATTGAGGGGGAGGGGTCTCACAGTGGAGGTCAGATTGAGGGGGAGGGGTCTCACAGTGGAGGTCAGATTGAGGGGGAGGGGTCTCACAGTGGAGGTCAGATTGAGGGGGAGGGGTCTCACAGTGGAGGTCAGATTGAGGGGGAGGGGTCTCACAGTGGAGGTCAGATTGAGGGGGAGGGGTCTCACAGTGGAGGTCAGATTGAGGGGGAGGGGTCTCACAGTGGAGGTCAGATTGAGGGGGAGGGGTCTCACAGTGGAGGTCAGATTGAGGGGGAGGGGTCTCACAGTGGAGGTCAGATTGAGGGGGAGGGGTCTCACAGTGGAGGTCAGATTGAGGGGGAGGGGTCTCACAGTGGAGGTCAGATTGAGGGGGAGGGGTCTCACAGTGGAGGTCAGATTGAGGGGGAGGGGTCTCACAGTGGAGGTCAGATTGAGGGGGAGGGGTCTCACAGTGGAGGTCAGATTGAGGGGGAGGGGTCTCACAGTGGAGGTCAGATTGAGGGGGAGGGGTCTCACAGTGGAGGTCAGATTGAGGGGGAGGGGTCTCACAGTGGAGGTCAGATTGAGGGGGAGGGGTCTCACAGTGGAGGTCAGATTGAGGGGGAGGGGTCTCACAGTGGAGGTCAGATTGAGGGGGAGGGGTCTCACAGTGGAGGTCAGATTGAGGGGGAGGGGTCTCACAGTGGAGGTCAGATTGAGGGGGAGGGGTCTCACAGTGGAGGTCAGATTGAGGGGGAGGGGTCTCACAGTGGAGGTCAGATTGAGGGGGAGGGGTCTCACAGTGGAGGTCAGATTGAGGGGGAGGGGTCTCACAGTGGAGGTCAGATTGAGGGGGAGGGGTCTCACAGTGGAGGTGAGATTGGGGGGGAGGGGTCTGACAGTGGAGGTCAGATTGAGGGGGAGGGGTCTGACAGTGGAGGTCACATTGAGGGGGATGGGTCTGACAGTGGAGGTCACATTGAGGGGGAGGGGTCTCACAGTGGAGGGAGTCATGGCCCCACCCCTAGAGGTGTAGTCACGGCCTTGTCTTCTCTTTCAGGCCTGTCTGAGCCAATGGATACACAAGGCGCTGGAAGTGGAATACTCTGATTGGCTGAGAGATCAGGAGCCAGAGAAGGATCAGGACGGCTTGTACCTGTCTAGTGTGCCGCACATCGTCATGCAGGTGAGACGCCACAACGCTGAAGGAGGAACATGACTCCTCCCACTGTGACATCATGTGTGCCCTCCTGTAATAGAGAACCTTCCCCCGTATTACTGGTCACCTGAGAGGGGGCGGAGACACAGACTACTGGGAGGAAATCTCACCATTGTGGGAGGGGCAGAGACACAAAGTACTGGGGGAATCTCACCATTGTGGGAGGGGCAGAGACACAAAGTACTGGGGGGAGGGATCTCACCATTGTGGGAGGGGCAGAGACACAGACTGATGAGGGTAAGTGTCACTCCTGGGGTTCTCCGAAGGTAGAAGATCCATGTCATGGGTTTCGGTGGATCGCAATGTATTTATTTCAGATTTGTAGGTCTGTGGAATGATGTCACGATGATGTCATAACTGTACTCGATGTTACTGGTCAGGTGGAGATGAAGCGCTCTGATAACGGTCTATGATTGGCAGATGCTGATGGAGAACGTGCGTTTGGCGTCCGTCCTGGGTGAGAGTCTGGAGACGCGTGTACGGAGCGCGGCGCTCTGCGAGATGGAGAATTGTTTGGTCTGGTGAGTGGCAGCCGGCTTCCTGCCGTTATATTTGTATTGGGAGAAGACGGAGGATGATGACGGCGCCATTTCCCTCTACAGGTTACGGGAGACGCTGGTGAAATACGGGATAGAACATATGAAGGACCGAACCTTTCCCCCACATTATATCCCCTACTTGCTGGCCGTCATAAACGCATGCTCCGCCCTCAGGTATCGGATCCAGCCCTCATCATACATCCCAAAACATGGCCCTACATACATCAAACATTCCATCAGAGACTCCACCAATGTCTGACCTCCGGCGATAATGTTACCGCAAACCATCCGCAGGCCACGTGGGGGGGACATGACCTCAGACTAGGGGGAAGAACACGGGGACAT